AGAAAGACTTCTGTGTTCGTTTCTGTACGAGCCGGCGGCACGTTATCTCGACGAATCGCGAAACTCCTTTTCGGAGAATCTTTTATCGCGTTATCGTATTTTTTACGCCGTATGACACGCGCGCGCGAGCCAAGATTTTTCGCCGTTTACGCGAACGCCACTCGTATGTAAACGTCGACGCTAACGCGCCGCACGCCGAAACAACAACGGCGACGCGACGTTATATTTGCTCGAACGTCGGAATTCGAAGATACGGTTCGACGGTCGTTGGAAAAACATCGGACGTTCCGAATTTTTTTCGTCGTTGGAGCTGCACTGCATACGAGTTCTTGGACGTTTTCGAAAAAAAAGTGGCGCGTGTCGCGATTCCAATGTCGCAACGTCGCGCTATGAAAAACACTGGCACGTATCCGCGTATTGTAGACGGAAACACAGAGCTCGCGAGAAAAGCGCAATGCCGTTCGTCGACAAACATCGAGATTCGCTCGTCGATATCGTCCTTTGTTCCTTGGTTTTGCGCGACAAACTCGTTTCCACGGTGTACGTTCAGCGTTTCCTTTATTTCATTCCTCGTTCGTTCTTCCCCGCGCGTGTATTCCACGGACCGGTCTCGTAAAAAGACGGTAAAAAAGGCACGCGGCTCGAATAGATCGAGTCGAAGGAAGTCGGATGAAAAATAGAAAAAGTGGCAAAAGGAACGCGAGATACCAGCGTCGTTAGACGTCTCGGTGGTCGATGCGAGTCGCGTAATTTCGCGATTCCGAAGCGCCGACGACTTTGCGACAAAATTGCGTAATTTTCGTCTCTCGTCTTTGACGAATTCCTAACTCCGATGACGTATACGTATAACGCGTCTCGGATCTCCTCTATCCGACGTTTTCGTTAACGATATCGGTTTGCTATTAAAATCCTACTTGCTTCTCTTGCGCGCTGACGACTCGATTAAACATCTTTTTTAGAATTAACGCCCGCGCCGATCGATGATTAAAACGACGCGCTGATCGATCGATCGGGACGATGGAGCATCCGTAATCGCTCGTTCCTCGATGTCTCTGAATGCAAAGTTAGTCTCGTTCCTCTCGCAAAAGATATTTCCTAGTATTTAGCCATACTCTCTCTTTCTCTCTCTCTCTATCGTGGTACCGACGTAACATCTACGCAACAAATTCGCGACCTACATATTTATTCTACTACTAGCAATCTCGCTTTTGATTATCACATTCGAGTTATTAGAGCTAAGGGACGAACGGAGCAACGAACGTGAGCGAATGTTGGTGAAAAACAGCTCCATATCTGTCAGGTTACAAATTGTCGAATTTAGTAGTTCGTTCTCGAGTACCGTAAACGAGTTACGTCGAGGTTCTCATCTTGGATCTCGACTTTTTAGTCTGTTTATTAACGATAGTACGTTTGATTGCTTTTCTCTCGTGCCTATTTCTTTCGTTCGCGGACGATTTAAAGCCGCTTCGATGCCCTTAAGAATTCGACCAGCTCCTGTTTCTTATTCAACGCGATCTTTTCAATCTTGAACCTCGGTGTGAAGCGAAATAAGCCATCTCTCGATATTTCCAAGTGCTCTGCTATCCGTTTTTCGCTCTTAAAGAGTAGCTTACTGTGTAATTACGTTCTCGTTCGATTTTCGTGCTCCTCGGGGAATATTCGAGATTCGGATGCTCTATCTTCCTCCAATTTATCCCATTTTATCCCACGTTTGCAGCGTTCTTCGATCGTTCGGCCGCCTTATCAACGATACTTACGCGTCCAAATAGAGAACGTTCGACGTAAGTTTCTGCGCTTAGCCGACCGTAATATGACCAAGTCCTATGCGTCGCTTCACTACCACCACGTTCATAAGAGTCTGCCGTCTCGTCTTTAAACTCGCGTCTCTCGAGGGTCGTCGTCTTACGTTTGACTTATTGTTCGCTCGCGAGATTTACAACGACGCGCTGTTACTCGTCCTCGAAATTGTATCTTCTTTTGGACTAATCGCATCTTGGCCAGCGACAGGACGCAGCTGCGATATCCATTGCGCGAAAGGCAGTATAGCGAGCATAGGACTCTTTACGACCAATTTGAATTCTGCGAATCGCGCTTCTTTCGTATCATAGTTCTTATCATTCTGCAACGTCTCTCTACGATCGTATCTACTTCTTTGTACACTAAAAGGGTTTCTTACTCGTTAGCCACGACGAATACGCAAACAAGAACGCGGTTCTAGACTCGCGAACGCGGCGATCGCAGAATTTCGATTAGTTTATCGCGTCGGATCGCGACATTCGCGAGGATAACGAGCTGCCAGTCTCTCGGCGAGGCCGGCGTATTTCACTGCGATCTGGATGGCAATCACGATTTCGCAAAGTATCGTTAATGAACGACGGCGCGTTGAATTCCGTGCGCGCCGTTCCACCGCGCGTCGTGACGCACAGGCCAAAATACGCGACTCGAATTCGTCCATTCATTCGCTAGCGCGTTCCCTGCGACACGCACCGCGTTCGCGTACGCACGGCCGC